CTTTATACTGTCACTATAAACAGAGATTAGCAGAAGACCCTTTAACCTACCCATGGTTCTCCCCAGCTGTTTCTCACTATCCAGTACTCTGTGTTGGTGACGTTGTCGACAGACCACCCAGTTACAGATACAATGTGATTTGTCTGAAAATCAAAAAGTTACCAGCAAACATTGTAAGAGTTTACTAATCACTAGAAGGCTAACTTTATGTAAATTAAGCTTTTCTAATTCTTATAACTTTAAGTCTACTATCAGTAATATTATAGAAGCAACAAAATGCACAGGTTTTTTCTTATGACTTCTCATTATTTGTTTTATTTTTATTTTTTATTTTTTTTTTTTTTTGATGGGTCTGTTAGCGTCGCGATTGAACAGATTTATATTTGAAAAATTTCAATTTTTGAGAAGAATTAAATCAAGTTCAAGACTGAGCACACTTTTTGAATTATTCTGATTTTTTGAAATAGTTGTCTGCAACAACATACAGGAATAGTCAAGTTTTCTGCATATATTCCGCCCATATATTTCATCTCAAAATTATATGTTGCCCCGATGGAACACGCTATTGGGCCTTTCTCATAAATTTCAGCCATCATTTTTTCTCGTCCTGATAACTCTCCATGCTCTGTCACATAGTAACGAGTGTAGTTTCGTAGCGAGAAACAGTGATCTGACCAGCAAGATCCACATCGATGAAACGGGTCACATACTAAAATGGGATCTTTTAATAACCATTTAATAAATCATTCAACTGAAATCCTAGCTTAACTTTCGTTGTACTTCAAAAGCTATAAAAACACAGAAAACCCATGAAAAGTGTCATTTTTCCATAAAAAATATCCCTTCTAGGCAAATAATGCAGCATTAACATTCATCGATATAACTGCATTGTAGCCGGTAGAGAATGTCGGGTAATTCAGTTTACAATTGTAGTTTTTTTACTCAACAAAAGCAACTAAAAGTTTTTTTTGGCAAAATGGCCTATATATAGTAAAATGCGACAAATGACAACGACCACTAATAAATTATTTGAAAAGAAAATGTTCAAAAGTCTAGAAAGTCGTGAATTAATCAAAATATGAAACCTTCAGTTCTGATTATATAGAAGATTTATTTAAGTTAAAAGGTAAGGATTATATCCATAACAGACTTCCGTTTGTAGCTCTGTAATTACTGCATCCTTCATCAACCAACCCGTGTGTCTTGGCGTATTCGTAAACACTTCTTGGGTCTCCTCCCTGACAATTTCCTTCTCCTCCACAATCGATAACCTCCTTCAAAAAGCGACAGAATTATTGTTTCTCGTGTTTCAACACTCTTTACAGAACCTCTTTTTGCCATTTACTTGCCATAA